TGCTTATATATTAACCCATCGAACAGCGACCCGACCCGTAGGCCAGAGAGGATCCGCGTGTTCTTGGAAAGAAAAGGGTAGATTATGTTTTGGTCCCCACTTCTTTTGAAACATTTTATTTGGACCCCTAAATCAGTCTTGTATTTCGATTCCTTCTCAATTTTGCCTTCAGCTTTAGTATTATTTCAATTCCGTCCTTTTTATACTATATTTTATATTATCTTAATTTATTTATTTTGGTTTTTTATTACTATTTAATTGATACTACTCTTATATATATATATATATTTATTTATTTATTTTTATATATTTTATGATTTTTTTATTATATATATTCTATATTATTTTTTAATTATTTTCTACTTCCTTTTTATTAACTCTTATCTATTTTTACCATTTATTTTGTTCTATTTTATTATTATATTGGCGTACATATGTATATTTTTTTCATTTTCTTATTCATTCTTATTTTTCCATCTAACATTTTTCGATATTTTCAGAGTTAATTTCAATCGATCAAAGGTAAGCAATTCGAATCGGGTAATTTAAATTTAAATTTAAATTTTCGCAATTAAAGACAACCGATGAATTAATTGGTATCGAAAGGGCGGTTCAAGGGTGCTAATCCTTCCTTGACTGTAACCGACTCCCGAACCCGACACGTTTCTGGTACAACGCAGATCTGGTAAGATGGTGTCCGACCCACTTAAATTCGTTTTAAAGTGGTCGGTGGCAACTCTAACCCAATTCATTCAAGTCGAAGCCTAATTCCGGGCCCAACCCAACCGAAAGACGGTTCCGACACTGCCTGCGACTGTGATGTTTCCCAGCATAATATGAAACATCTTATTCAACAAAAATTGTTTCAATTCTTAATGGGATTAAACGAGTCTTACTCAGCAATTAGGAGCCAGATTTTGCTTATGCAGCCCTTGCCTACGGTGAATCAAGCTTATTCCATGATGATTCAAGAGGAATCACAGCGTTCTCATCTCTCTATAGCTGCTGTACCTGATTCGGTGGCCTTGTTCTCTAGTTCTGCTGCTTTCTCTGAGAGAAAGCGTTTTTCTAGTACTTGCGATTACTGCAAGATCAAAGGCCATAAGAAGGACCAGTGTTATCGTCTAATTGGATTTCCTTCCAATTACAAGTTTACTAAGAAGAAGGCAGTTTCGAATGTTGTGGCAAATTCAACAGCTTCTACTGACCCGGTGGCTGCTTCCACTCGACTTAATTCAGCAATTTCTTCTCCTCCGTTGTTCACTCAAGAACAGTATGAACAAATCTTGCAGTTGCTGAACAAACCACCTGCAGATTCTGCTGTTAACCTTGCAGGTATATCTTCTAACGATCCTCTACATTCCAATGTTTCGCTTAAATGGATTGTTGACACGGGAGCAACTGACCATATTGTATTTGATTTTAAGAGCTTGAATTCTTTTAGTCCTTGTGATTCCTCTACTCGGTTCATTTGTTTCCCTGATGGAAAAAAGGTCCCTGTTACTCATCTTGGTTCCTGTTCTCTCACTTCAGATTATAGCCTTGATAATGTTCTTGTTGTTCCACAGTTCAAACATAATTTACTGTCAGTATCACGGCTTACTCATGATCTTGATTGTTCTTTTACTTTTTACCCTGACTTCTGCCTTTTACAGGATCTCTGCACTGGAAGGGTGAAGGGGATTGGTAGGCAGTCTAGAGGATTATATTTTTTTAAGTCTGCTTCTTTTTCTTCTGGTTTGTCCATTCCTCAGCCCCCATCCTTCAATTTTTTCCTTTACTGCACCTTATATGAATTCTGCCAAGCTTGACACTTGTATTTGGCATGCTAGATTAGGGCATTCTGCTTTGTCTACAATGAATAAAATAGATTGTTTGCATTCTGTTAAATTTCAACATGATTTGGTGCATAAATGTTCTATTTGCCCTTCAGCTAAACAAAATAGATTGCCTTTTCCTAAAAGTAACTCTAGGTCTGCCATCCCATTTCAGCTTATTCACATTGACTTATGGGGTGCATATAGAGTTTCTACACACAGTGGTCATAGGTTTTTTCTTACCATTGTTGATGATCACACTAGGATGACTTGGTTATATCTGTTGAAGCACAAAAATGATGCTCTTTCCTCTTTAAAACAGTTCATTTCTTTAGCTAAAACTCAATTCTCTACTTCTGTTAAAGTAATTAGGAGTGACAATGGCTCTAAATTTTTTAATTCAGAATGTTCCCCTTTTTTTTCTTCCCTTGGCATTGTTCATCAAAGTTCTTATGTGGGTACTCCTCAGCAGAATGGTGTTGCTGAAAGAAAACATAGACACATCTTAGAGGTTGCTCGAGCTCTTCGTTTTCATTCTAATGTTCTTATTAAATTTTGGGGTGTGTGTGTACTCACTGCATGTTACATTATCAATAGGCTTCCCTCCTCTGTGATTAAATGGAAAACACCATTTGAGATGCTTTATCACAAATCACCATCTTTGTCTCATCTTAAAGTCTTTGGTTGTTTATGCTATGCAACTAAGCCACACTATAGTGATAAATTCTCATCAAAAGCCATTCATGCTGTGTTCTTAGGTTACTCTACTACTAAAAAAGGCTACATTCTTTTTAATCTTGACTTAAAAACCTTATTTGTTAACCGAGATTTCATTTTTCATGAAGATATCTTTCCATTTAAATTTGTTTTCTCCAATCAGTTTTTTTTTCCACCTCATCCTGATATACCTGACTCTGATTTTTTACAACTCTCATTCCCTTCCTCACTTAAACAAATTCCTTCCTCAGATTCTGTTTTGCCTTCAGATTCTTCAGAAAACTCCACTAATCCTTCTTCAACTGATTCAGAGGATCTTTCTAATGCTTCAACAGATGTAGTCCCAATCAGTATTCCTCAAGCTTCTGTCCCTAATCCTGTGTCTAATATAACATCTTCTAGAGTTTCAAAACCTCCATCTTGGTTACATGATTATGTTCATACCTGCCAATCTACTTCTCCTTCAGGTCAGTACCCCATATCTCACTATATTTCTTATTCTCATTTACCACAACATACACAATATGTTGTTCTTTCTGTTTCTCATTTTCCTGAACCAAAAACCTTTCAAGAAGCCCAATCTGATCCTAGATGGGTTAAGGCGATGCAAGAGGAAATTCATGCTCTTGAGTTAAATAAAAGTTGGTCTCTTGTTTCCTTGCCCCCAGGAAAAGTATGCATTGGATGTAAATGGGTGTTTCGTGTTAAGTTCAAAGCCTCAGGTGAAGTTGAGAGGTTCAAGGCAAGACTTGTGGCTAAGGGTTATAATCAAAGAGAGGGAATTGATTTTGTGGATACCTTTTCCCCTGTTGCTAAGCTTACCACAGTTCGTTTTATTCTTGCACTTGCTGGCATTTTTGCTTGGCCTTTGTGGCAAATGGATGTTCACAATGCTTTCTTGCAAGGTGATTTACTTGAGGAAGTTTACATGGAGTTGCCTCAAGGGTTTTGTAGCCAGGGGGAGAATGTTGTGTGTAGACTACAAAAGTCTCTTTATGGCTTAAAGCAAGCCTCAAGACAATGGAATGCCAAGCTCACAGAAGCTCTCATCTTAGCAGGATATAGTCAAAGCAAATATGATTATTCTATGTTTACAAGGAGACAAGGGGATTGTATAGCAGTACTTCTGGTTTATGTTGATGATCTGCTAATCACAGGAAATGATGCTAAGATGATTTCAGAGTTGAAAGGGGTGCTTCATAAGAACTTCAAGATGAAAGACCTGGGAGAACTGAAATATTTTCTAGGCTCGGAAATTTTGAGAACAAAAGAAGGGATATTGTTAAATCAGAGGAAGTATGCTCTTGAACTTATTCAAGATGCAGGGTTAGGGGGTGCAAAACCTGCTGCAACGCCCTTAGAACAGAATTCTAAACTCACTACAATGGAATATGATCATTCCCTGCAACAAGAGAACAAAGATGAGGATTGTTTAGTTGACAAAGCAGAATTTCAAAGGTTAATTGGCAGGCTGCTCTATTTGACACATACAAGGCCTGACATAGCTTTTTCAGTCCAACACCTTAGCCAGTTTATGCATAATCCGAAGAAAGAGCACATGGAGGCAGCTCTTAGAGTGGTAAGGTACATAAAGAACAATCCTGGGTTAGGGATTATCTTGAAAGCTTCAAGTAGTTGTCAACTGATGGCTAGCTGTGATTCGGATTGGGCAACATGTCCAATGACAAGAAAGTCAGTGACAGGTTTCTGTGTAAAGCTGGGTGATTCACTAGTTTCATGGAAATCAAAGAAACAAAGTACCATAGCAAGATCCTCAGCAAAAGCTGAGTATAGAAGTATGGCAACAACAACTTCAGAACTGATTTGGTTGCAAGGGTTGTTAAAGGAGCTTGGTGTCAACAATAATCAACCTGCAAAGATCTTCAGTGATAGCAAAGCAGCCCTACAAATTGCAGCAAATCCTGTGTTTCATGAGAGAACAAAGCATATCGAAATAGATTGCCATTTTATAAGAGAAAAAATTCAGCAAGGCCTAATTCAAACAGAATTTGTACCAACTGTAGAGCAACAAGCAGATATTCTGACAAAGGCTCTTGGAGTTGTGCAACACAAGTATCTCTTATCCAAGTTAGGAGTGAAAGACGTATTTCACTTCCCTACTTGAGGGGGAGTGTTAAGAATAAAAGTTGTTCGAAGTCAGTTAGGGAAGTTAGAAATCTGTTAAAGGATTAGTTAGGCAGTTAGCCTTTGTTGTAAATACTATATAAGTGATGTAAATGTGATAAATTAATATATCGAGGTATTTTTAGTAATCCCTTTGTTTTAACACCGAGGCATATTCGAATATGGGGACATGATATGCTCCTTTGAAGGACTCTCCAAATATATGATAATCTTGAAAAAAAAATTGAATATATTTGTGTCCGACACTTGCACCCGACACCGAATAACATATGTAGTAGCTTTGTGGAATGATGAAACTGTACTTCTGGTATTGAATTGATGATGACTGGGAAAAAAGTTTGGAGTAACTTATTCTTTCCTGGAAATGTTGGAAACAACACATTTAAGAAGAAGGCTCCCAAGGCAATAAAGGAGATCAGGAAATTTGCAGAAAAAGCCATGGGGACAAAGGATGTAAGGGTTGATGTGAAGCTGATCAAGCACTTGTGGAGCAGAGGGATCCGAAGTGTCCCGAGAAGAGTTAGGGTTCGCATTGCTCGTAAGAGAAATGACGATGAAGATGCAAAGGAAGAACTCTACTCTCTGGTTACATTTGCCGAAATCCCAGCTGAAGGACTGAAAGGTTTGGGTACCAAGGTCATTGATGATGATGATGAGTAATTCATTTATTTTAGTTAATGGAAGCTTGCATTTGTTGACCAAGAAGTTTACATTTGAGTTTTTAGATAAGTTTTGCATTAATCACTTGAGGCATACTATATTCCTCGTATATTTGGTTCCTTTGTTTAGCTAATTAAGTATAGATGTGCGTTTAGTCGGTTTGATTTTTAAAATCATCAAAACTGAGTAAATCATTAAACCATCAAAATTAAATAAACCAAAATAATTTTATTGCCATAACCTAATTAATCAATATTAACTTTTTTTTCGTTTTAATATTTATTTATAAAATAAAAATCTATAATTGTAAAATTAAATATTTATATATAGTTAATTAAATTATTTGATTGAATTATTTTATACCTCTGGATATTTAATTTCATATTTGGTTTAACTGAAAAAAATGTTAAAATTAAAATTTTCTTCACTTATGTGTCTAAATATTACAAGTGTTCTATTTTGTTATTGTTTTAAGATTGAATTGTCAACGTTTGTTAAATTCTCAAGAAACCAAAAATCAATATGTCATCTGATGATTGTTTGATATATGGTATAGAAAATCAATATTCCTATTTTTTAAAAATGATTTAACCCCTAAATTTATAAATTCGTAAAACCTCTCAGTTGGTAGGAGAATACAGTGTCAATTTGTTGACGATGACGAATCAATGAGCGATAATTGGGTGAAGTACAGAACGAAATTTGAGGGTTTCATGCAAGGGTAAAGAAGTGAATGACATCGGTGAGATCCGACTACAAATAGATAACGGTAATTGATTCAATGGTGATATAAGGAATTTTCAGTTTTAGGATTAGGGATTTAACAAGCATGAAATTTAGGATTCTTTTTAAATTTTAGGGTTTTAGTGATTACAAGGTAGTACTTATTCGAAAGATTCTTAATCATTTGACAATAAACGTTAAAACACCCCTATTGAAATCATGCTCAAACTCGGGATTTCTAGTTATAACAATCATCCCTTTAACTATTGAGATCGTTTGATTCGTGCTTAATTAAAACATTTAAATCATTTATTCTCACTTAAAAGAAACATATAAAGATCACAAGACAAAAAAAATGTAAGGAAGACCAAGTCTTATAATCACTAAGGCCTCACCAATTAGCTACTTAGGTAAAATACTAACATCCAATTCCTAACTTTAAACTGAAAATTAATCAACGCCATTTTTTTTCCTCTGAAAAAAAATATCAAAGATCAGCCCTACCTGGATACCTTGGGAAAGGGATAACATCCCTGATATTGTCAATGCCGGTAGCAAAGAGAATCATTCGTTCAAACCCCAAACCAAATCCACAGTGTATAACCGTTCCATAGCGTCGCAAGTCGAGATACCACTCATATGGCTCAAGAGGCAGCCCCATCTCCATGATTCCGCAAGCCATAAACCACCAAAGGAAACTGTAATGTTTACTCACTATATGTGAAAGCATGCAAAACCTAAGCATCATGAAATGAAGTTATGAACAAGGATATACTGCCTCTTACCTTTCCCGAATAACCTTGCGCGTAACGTTCTTCCCTTTGACTTCCCCCAATCAGTTCTCCAACCTGACATGTTCAGAAGATATCCACTCTCAGACATAACATAGCAAAAAGAGCTGTAATTTAAACAATGGAAATGGAAATGCACAACCTTTGGCACAAGGACATCCATGGCAGCAACAGTTTTCAAGTCATCATTAAGCCTCATGTAAAATGCTTTGATTCCTTTTGGATAGTTATAAACAATAACAGGCTTTTGAAACTTAACCTCTGTCAAGTATCTGCAAATCGAGTCGAATGCAAAAAAATATGTTAGGCTCCACGTTTGAAGCATGTGGAAAGAAACAATTTAGGGATTCACATTACCTTTCGTGTTCGGATGCTAAATCGATCCCCCACTCCACTGCCTTCTCAAATTTCTTACCACTTTTCACGGCTTCCTCTAAAAGTTCCACTGCTTCGGTGTATGATATTCGTACAAAGATTGGGAGATGACCCAGATATTACAAGAACTGAAGGTGATTAAAGCTAACTGAGTGATGTGCACAAAAAAATGATTATGATGGTTTAACCACTTAACTCCTGTTTTTTGTTATGTATTTTTTCGATCACCGATCGTCAATTGGATATTTCTTCAAGAGTAAACAACTGCATGTTTCGAGAAGGGTAATACAGTTATTTTTTATTTCGATATTCAAATGTATAAATATTAAATGCTTAATTTAATCTTAAGGGAATGACGTTCATTTCAACGGTTATACCAATCAGGACATATTTGATTCTAAAACAGTGATTATACATCATATAATTCAACTTAATTTTGATTTCTTTCATATTATATTCCAGATCAATATAATATTTTATTTTACAATCCTTTATTTCCAATAATTTAGAAGTAAATTCTAAGTTGATGCCAAAATATGATTTTAAATAATAAGATTATAAAGAGTATGATAAATTTAGAAGCCAGTCATGTCTAAGTGACTTGTTTGATAACAGGATAGACTCTCTCTTGATAGAGGCGGCTCATCCTCTCCCCAGTTCCCACTCAGGTGCTTTCAAAACCCGATGATAGAATATGAGAACTAATCTCATTTATCAATTGGATAATTAGCTAGAACTGTGGATATTGTAATGACCTAACTGCAAATAAAAAAAATTAGGTTACATGCATGATAAGAATAAATAAATAAATTTAAATATTTAGATTTTGTTTATAAGATTTGAATATTTAACTTTGTTATTTGTTAATTCATGTTTAAAATAAATGCATGAGTTAAATTAAGACTACAATAGATGGATAAATGTTAAGACTTAAATTTAATTTATCTTTAATATTTCATCACCGTTAATATTTTAATGTGAGTAAATAAAATAAAATTGCAATATAAGATATAATTTTAAAAAGATGAATAGATAATTTTTTAATGAAATATTAATATTTAATATGATATTATTATTTCAGGAATATAGTATTAATAATACTTTTAAGTATTTCAATATTTATAACATCTTTATAAAAGCAGATTTTCCACACACAAAATAATCAAAATGGGAAAACATTTTATTTTTAGTTATCCAAATATTAAAAATTCTTTATATAAATTTCCACACACAAAAACGAGACCTCCTTTTTGGTAAAAATTTGATTGTTGATATAATTAAAATTGTATAACAAAACAGTCAGGATAATTTAATTCGCTCACCAATCATTTATTACTTCGTAAAACATTTCGTTCGACATATATAATGAAATTTATGAAGGCTATTAGACTCTTTTGATATGAACATCATTCTTAAAGGAAACTTTCATTTTCGTTTTTCTTCATATATTTATGTATATAGTATATAATACAAAATAATTAATTTTGGAACCAATATAAATTGTTAGGGAGAGGGGTTATTAGTACAGATAAGTGGGATTCGTTTCGTTTCATGAAATTTTTATGTGCATCATCAACCATTAATTTTGCAAATAAATTCAGAGATGATTCAATATTACAAATATATGACCATCGGATAATTAGCTATGTTTAAGTAATTCACCCAGCGAGTGAACTAACTAGGATTAATTACCTTAAAGTGCCATCTCAGCCTGCAATGCAGCGAGTTCATCTTCCTCAGCTGTGCGCTTTGGAGGAACGGGTCGAGCTGGTTGCCTGCCAGCGGGTACCTGGACAGGAGCTGCAGGAGCAGTCGTTGCAGGTTGGAGAAGCTGCTCTTCCAACTCAGCACCTTCAAGTTCTTCAAGTTCTGCTTCCAATTCATCCTACACCATCAAAAGTAAACAACTCATTGTTAGATGCATGAAAATGCCAGACGTGACATTTATAAACATAGATAATACCGGTAAGAAGAAAATGAAGAGTGGATCAGAAAGTATAACCTCGTCAAAATCAGCTGCAGCCCCGATAGGATTTGAAAGTGCTTCCTGAATCTGTTTCATATTCTCAGTTTGTTCATTGATTTCATCCATTGTCTTGTCAACGTCATCTATATTCCTGTAAAGAAGGCCATTTTTGGTAAAACAGTGAGAATTAGCCATTGTTCGTGCTTCATGAAAATCGAAGAAAAAGCACTGATTTAGATTAGCGTGAATGCCAAGCTAGCATGCTTCAATAGTGCAATAAATAGCGATACAAAGGGCAAGTACAATTAAGAAAGGCATATTTAGGCTAACAATAAAAATATATTGGTTACACACGTTGCTTTCTGCATCGCCTTCATTGCTGCTGCTCCAGTTCTTAATGCATCTACAGTCTCAGTAGTGGCTTTGGCGCCTTCTAACAATATCATCTGTAGAAGTTGATATAGATCAGTCAGTACAGCACCATCAAAAATGGATAAGAAACTCAAAAAAGCCTCCAACTACAGGTTAAAACACTAAATTAACAAAATTAAAAGCTTACTTGATCGTGAACACGAAGCTGGAAGTTCCCAAGCTGTTCAATTTGCTGTTCATATAGTTTCTTCCTCTTCAGGCACTGTATAGCCGCTGCATAAGAGTAGCATAATGAATACCAAGAGTCGACAATATATATATCTAGCAATCACAGTGCACAACATGGTTTTAACTTTTAAATTAAGTCGTCGTTCAGATGATAAAAAGAATAAAAACTATCTAAAGTTTATTCTAGAAGATCATTGCTTGCTAAAACCTCACATGATATGAATACATAATGAATCAGAAACTCAAGAATAATACCACAGCATGGTAATGTTAGTCAGCATCAGAACATCACTTGATGTCTGACGATCAGTCATTCGGAAACCAAAGGACCCCAAAGATAAAGCTTGCAATGCGGTAATACATTTGGGTGTTATTTCATGGCATCTTCAATCTGATTTGAACTTTGCTTCCTTTTGAGAATTAAAATTAACCAGAGGTTGAAAAGGGGAAAAGCGCCCTTGGGGGTTCCAGCATTTAGTAACCTAGAAGCCATCACTTGATATTGCAGCAAGAAAGAATTTTACATCATCTAATATGACATATTG